AGGTGGTACAGTCTTCAACCAGTTATGTCTAATATTGATGCAAACCAACCTATTCTTTCACTATTGAGAAAATCCTCCTTTTTGAAGTCGGTTTTAAACCGGAACGCACCGTACCTATTTTTATTGCCACGTACTAAGTACATAAGTACTAAGAGAAGTACTCTTTGCGCAGACTGTCATACATATTATTATCTTCCTTCCTTATTATTTTTTATTTTTTAAACGCCCTAATCTGACATATTCGGTTAATAGTTTTTTTTTTAAATAAGTGTGCATTTGACTACCATCTCACCTCATAGAAAGTGACGATGAACTCGACGATGGAACATGCACTTCCGACTTGTGCACTTGTCTACGCGACCTCTAACGAGACTTATCTCAACAGCGGACTTTACACAGATACTCTGTCGCGCGTAATACAGCTATCGCGCGTGATTGAGCGCGCGTGAAAAAGGGAAAGCTCATGAGTCGCGCGCTGGGGGTACACTTGCATACATTCTATAAATGTGACCTTTAAAACCATAGAACGTGATCTCGTCAATTTGCTCCTAAACAAAATCAGTTTATCTATGGTTCTCGTTCATTATACGAGTTTCATTCCATTTTGTGTTCAAAATACCTTGATATCTTGTGCATGTAGTGATTTAAGCATCGAGTCGATTTTCCACCGCTCTTGAATAGACTTGTGTGTATACGCGCTTATGGACGCAGTGAAAAAGAAAACTACTTGACAAGTATTTCTTGCGAGTTTATACGCGATATTGGACGCGGTGAGATGAGAGAATAGAATTTAAAAAGTAGTACACAGGTTGAAAAAGGAAGAAACTAGTATTTTGATAGATGAAAATGTTTGTCACCATTATTCTATACCAAAATGACGACATTCAAACGAAATAATAAAGTCCATATAATAAAGTAGAAGTCGAAGTAAGTTTCATGCAATATAATCCACATCAATGTTATAATGTTAAATAACTGAAATATAATATTAAATAATATTACATAATATTTAATTCCAAGTCGATATATCACAGATAATCAAACTACATGTTATCTTTGTGCGTCATAGACATTGTGATTATAAATTTATACGTATCCTTACCGTTACTTTATATTTGGCTGTGTACTTGATAGACACGTTCAAGTCTTTTGGGCTACAGTAACTGTTATACAATACTATATAAAATTGCAAAGCAACGGTGCAAGGAGCAAAAGGAAAAATATATATAGACGGTATATAATTCGAACAAGTGCCGTTACAGGAGAAAAAGTGCCAAAAATGAGTTTTACAGGCAAATCTGTCATAGTCACCGGCGCAAGCTCCGGAATTGGAGCTGCCACAGGCATATTGTTTGCTGAACAAGGAGCCAACGTAGTCATAGTGGGACGTAATGAAACCAAACTCAATGCTGTAGCTCAAAAACTTCCAAAGAATGCCAAATCATTGATCCTTAAAGCTGATGTCACCACAGATGCAAAGAAAATCATCGATGAAACTGTAAATAAGTTTGGCAGAATTGATATACTTGTCAACAATGCAGGGTTTGCCAAATATGGTAGTCTTACTGATGGAAAATTCTTGGAAGCTTATGACACTATTATGGCAACAAACGTTAGAGCTGTAGCTGAACTTACTATGTTGGCTCTTCCGCATCTAACGAAGACTAAAGGAAATATCATAAATATTTCAAGCATAGCGGCTATGGCTGTACCCCTTGATGGAAGGTTTCTCGCTTATTCTGTTTCTAAGGCTGCTTTGGATCATTTTACTAGAGGAGCTGCGTTGGAATTTGCTTCTAAAGGTATGTAATTTTATATATCTTTATGTTTAGTACATAAAAACCATCTAAATTGTAACGTAATCGCTTAATTTCAAATCTGAGCGAGACAACCAGTTTTACCAGGGATATGTTCGTTCGATCCCTTTCGAGCTATTATACTGAAGAAATAATGTGAACGATCATAGTACAATATATCGTTCGTAAACAAAATGTATTTTTTTTTTATTGTCTCATTTATTTTACAAATTAGGAATTTCTTATATTGTTGTTTAATTAAATGGGCTTTCATTGATATACGAGTTTTATTGTTACAGGTATCAGAGTCAACAGTGTCAACCCTGGACCGGTAGCCACAGACTTTTTAGACAACATGGGTGTCGACATTAGTGTCGATGTAATAAAAGAGATGACTGCTTTGAAAAGAGTTAGCACTCCTGAAGAGATTGGCGAATTGATTTTGTATCTTGCTGGTGATAAAGCCCAGGGTATCACCGGGTCGATTATGCTTACTGACAATGGGTGTCTTTTGAAATAGTAGATAGATATTATAAGGGCACGGCGCAAACAAACAGATGACCTAAATTCTGTTGATGATACTGAAGCAATTGTTAAGCGTGAGGTTAGATATATGGATTATATATTATGATGCAAACCCATTGAAAATAAACCCAACTAACCATAATACTATGTTTCGATTGAAAGATTAACAACATTGAAGTCATGTAGGTATCAAAAGTCACTAACGTCACAGCCATTTCAGTGTCCAAACGCGACTTCTCAATTACCCTACGAAATGCACTATGCGTGCGAAACAATACACAATCTTATAATCAAAAATTTACATCGTTCCGTAACTTAAATAATTAAAAAATTCAGGCACTCAAATTACATTCATGTAGATAAAAATTAAGGGCCAAGCAAGCCCTTGCTTTTCCAAATGTAATTAAGTATAACCCAATAAACCTTTTGTGCAAACAAACACAAAAACCTACGAAATTTTATTATCATTATTTGCATATTAAAATGATTATGATTATAATGAGTTAAGACGAGAATGCTTTGGGGGATTTTTTGGACGGCTTAAACGGGAATAATTTTCGGTTAAACCTGATACGTAATAAATTTATTTTAACTTCGACTCGTCGTCGTTTAAGCCAAGTTAGTTTCCCTAATGCATAATGCGCTTGTCTTAGTTTTTTAAAATGTTATTGCACTCCCTACATTCTAGCCGAATTCGATGTAGAATCAAATGTTAACAAACAAAAAGTTGTTTCACAGTTATCAAAATTTTTGTATTTTTTCTAAAATTCGATTAGGCTATTCATATTAATCTGAAAGTCATATCTGCGATGAATTTTATGCAATAGATGTTTTTAATTAATATTAAGTTATTTAAAACTAACATAAAAATAACCAGTAGTTAATTATTTACAAAACTGTGCCATCCCTAATTTTTTTTTGTTTGAAGGAAGAGATTGCAAACATTCCAGTTCCAGTAGTATTTCAAGTTCAGAATAGGAAATTGATGCTGATATCTACTAACAGAATAGAAAATAAAATCTTTTAATTTTGATTCTTTTAAGTTACTTACTATATAGCGTGTGTAAATATTAATAGGATTTTAAAACTAAATTACTATCTGTATACGTACGTACGTATAATGTAATGGGTACTTTGTAAACTTTGTAATAATTGGCCAGGTAAGTAGGTATTACATCTACATAACCCAATTAATAATTACATTTAAATTCGAATTAGGCACGCGACACCGCGAGCACTGCTTGCCTAAATAAAATGAGTACTGACAATAAATGTTCTTTACACCTGCCATCATTGGTTGCTTAGCAACGTTTTGTTATTAAACATTCTATACCGAATTTGAGTAAAGTGTAGTATTAGTTACCATTTGATTGCATCCCAACGAGTTTAAAATTCTTTGGTTATGAATTTTCAAATATAAATCTTATTTCGTAGGTAACAAATTGCACTTGATGTCATGATATTGTTTAAACAAACCCTAGGAACCTTTGTGTTACAAAGGTCTCATGGTAACGGCTGACTGAGATGGTAAAGTCACGTCTAATATTATTATTAATATAAAATAAAACCATGAGGTTTTATTTTGCACCTTTGCATGGGAACAGGAAGTGAGCGTACCTACAGCTCCGGTAATAGGGAGGGTGCTGTACGTCCACCCGGGGCAGCTCGACCCAAAGCACTAGCCTTTTGAGTACCGGATGAAGTCCGTGCAAACGGGGTCAGGCCCTGACTGAGAAAGTCCCTTCTCAAGAGGCTGATACGGAGGGTGACTATAAAGAAACAAATAAAAAAAAAACTTATGTAGAAAGATATGGGACTGCACCTTTGCATCATCCAAATATGTAATAAAATTAGACAGAAACGTTGACTATTTAAGCTATAACTGCCTCCGTGGTCGAACGGTTACCATTCCGGACTGCCATGCAGAGGTTCTGGGTTCGATTCCCAGGCCGGGAGAAATATGTGTGGCCTACATTTATTTCTCTCGTGAGTTTGAGTGTAATTTGTGGTTGTCTATGTGTGTGTTCATGGCACCTGCAACACAGGGTTTCCCTAGTGCGGGGCTATGTTGAGTGTGTGCGTTATTTTATTTTTATCATATTGATGGCATACGGATGGGTTTTCACTAATGAATACTTTGCCAATTGACGTAAGGTACTCGCCGATTTTTGCCCAGAGTGCACCGACGTACAGAAGAGGAATGGTACATCGTGCGAGGGTTGTGCACTCCTAATTTATCTCCAAATCCATTTCTACAACACCCAAGAGCAGAATCAGGGTGGTCCTATTTCTAACAAACAAAACGGGCATTCGGCCAACTCAGGGACAGTATTTTATTATTATAATAAATACTGCTAAGTATGATTTCTAATTCGTAATAAACAAATCCTCCAAAGACACCCCTGCCGCAGAATTGATACAACCCCTAAAATTGGGGGTGGTTGAAATTTTTCATAATTTTACGCGACCCGCGCCAAGCGGACACAAAGACTTTGGCATTATTAAGTAACAGAGTAAAGGGTTCATTAGGATAGAAGCACACTGGGATCATCAGAAATGATTATCTCAATGTGGTTTTTTTTTTTTATTTAAAAAATCAACAGCGATATTTTTGTGTAAGTTTAATTAAATTCAATTTATTATACTATGAAGTTTTTAAAAACCTTAAGAAATAAATCTCCACTCCATCTCCCACCTCCACCTCACCACCAAGAGGGCTGGCTCCACAGCTGAGCTGGCGGAAAGAATTAAGAATAATAAGTACCAAGACTTCGGCTCCGACTACCTATTTACAGCCTTTGGAATCGAAACCCTTGGCCCGTAAGGTCCCGATGCAATTCATCTATGCAAAATTGTATCTTATAATTATTATATTATACGTTCCGGTTTAGAAGGATAAGGGTGCTGATCAAATTACAGGCGCATGAGATTTGTCAACTTATGTCTCAAGGTGACAGCGCAGCTAAGATCTCTGCGATTTAAAGCACTGAGTGGCGCTGCATATGTTGTGGATAGACGTGTCGCTCACCACCAGGCGCACAACTTGTTCGTCCAGTTACTTGGTATTATAAAAAACCAAGGGTATGCAACTTTACGAGTTGTTTATTGAAAATCTCAATTCTTTCCATTAAATTTAATTTACTATGCCCAACGTATTAGAATACTCGTACGAAAAGCGCTGTCAGCATCCGGGCAACTTTTCTTTTTATTTAATTTAATTAATACAAAGATCATATACATAAATAACTTCAACCCGGTGGTACCCATGACCATGCTGCACCGTAGCATTGCTCTTACCAACTGAGCCACAGGTCAAATTACCGAGCTGTCGAAATTCTCTTAAGTTTTTTTATCATGGACCTTTTGTACTGGCTTTTGGTACTCGACGCCGTTAATCAATGTCAAAGAATCATTTATTCCATAGGTAAGATAAATTTACACTTAAAAACGTTCACTACGCTGACTTCCCTGAGAAGAACGAGCAAGAAACTCTAGGGATTGTTCTCTTCAAATAAACTTAAATGCTATGGAATACACTTTGAATCAAATGTGTGTGGATTCTAGAGCCGTGTCGTCTTTCCATACATCTTTATCTAACACCTAGTATTCAATTTTGTAACATGACTTTTGAATAAAAATATTTTTAAAGTAGTTTTTAAACTTAGGAAATGATAATTTTAACATATGCTCCGGAATTTTATTGTAAAAACGGATAAACTTAGGATAAACGAAATCGTGGTACAATGAGTTTGGACTTAACTCTTAGGTTAATATTATGGATATCTTCTTTTTTATTGAAATTATGTATATTTTTACGGGCATATAAAATATGAGTAAATGTACTGTGATGCCATAGTCATGATAGCAGTCTTCTTAAACTTTTCTCTAAGAGAAACCCGAGAGCCCATACGGTACACAGAAACGAATCGCTTGTTTTTGCACTACAAAATTAAATATGGTTTGAATGTCAGCCGCTTTACCCCACATGAGAATCCCGTAGGACGTAGTGACATCTAACGAGAGATTTTTGAAAAACCTTCTCAACTGATGTAAATGTCGCTTTTTAATCAGATGTATTATTGCGATTTTTGTCAAATAACTCCACTAATTTTGTTATGGTTATTGATATATTAAGTCGAAGAATTTTTTCTATGCGTTCGATCTTTTGTTTCTTACTTTTATTTACTTCTGGTTAAATAATTTCCACATTAAATTCATCTCGTTGGTTCTGAAAGATGACTTAAAAAAATTGACGCGTGTCTGCCGCACGAATCGTATACCATGCTAATGTTGTCATTATACTGACCAATAAAAAGCTCGGAATCACATTCCCAACGAAATTTGACATTTTCTACCTCAATTTCGGTAATAAGTCAAGAATGGACCGATTCTGGATTAGTTCACTGTTCTTGAAAACCCGCGAAATATGCACATTTATAACAATAAAATAAATCGATATCACATATCTGACGACCTTTGACGACTACTAGGTACCCTATCAAAGTTATACCGCGATAAGAAACCCGTATGATAGTTTAATATTGACAGTAATTATTAATAATGACAGTAGTCAAGTGTGTTTCAACCCTAAAACAAGACAGTAAAGGCTTAATAAATAGCAAAGGCGAGGAAGAGACCCGCATAAATTACATTAGAATATAAATTAATATGATCACACTATACAGAAAAAAACATTCCTTTTAAAACCAACAACGGTAAACAAAAGTAGATTTTAAAACTCCAACGTTAAAGTCAAAAGTGGTCTGACGCAAAAATGTTGTTTTTAAACTAAATAAAGGTGGGAAAGAGGTGAAGTCGGGACGCTCAGTATTATTTGTTTGATAATTTTTAATGTAATTAACCTTCGTGTGGGTTCAGTTACATTTTTATGTAATTTTGTTTTTGTTTAAGTGAACAATGTTTTATATACTAAGGAATTAACAGCTCATTTATACACAGGATGACTCGTTATTGTTTTATAGTGTCAAATGTGACAGCTGCATCGAAAAGTAACATTTTTTCTTAGGTCTTAACAGATAATGTGACAGATAAGTTATATTAATTGCATAGTCCCAAACTAAAGAATACCTTGTACTATGAATACTAGAATAATGAATTTACCTTGACTCTGCCGAGAACGCTAGAACTAAATTTAATTAAGAAAAGTTCATTTCCTAAATAGGTCCTGCCGGGTATCGAACTCACCGTTTTTGACCCCAACGCGTCTTTTTTCCGCCCCTACTATAAGTGTATCGATAGAAAAAAAATACAAATAAAATCTAGCTGAAGTCAATAACCATACGCTCTACTTCACATTGCAGGGTACGTATCTCGTGTAAGGGGATACAAACACTTATAAAGTTTTTATTCGACACAAAAGAAGTACTCGATACCTCCCAAAACAAA